ATCATCGCCCGTCGAATGGGAACACCCCCCAACACAGCGGCATCCAAAGCGTGATGTCGAAATGCGGCCTGACGGTCGGACAGGCGGCGGGGGGCTCCCTAAAATCGTTTCTTCCCCAGTGTGGGCTGTCTTCATCCGATGGGAATCACAAGATTGGCGAGAAGCGCCCTTTTTGGGTCGATGAGGGGGCCTATGTGCGCTATTTGCGAAGCTGCGTGACGCGGGAGTTTACGTACAACTGCATCGGCTATATCAGCGCGCTCTGTGAGTATAGTTATCAACATCCCGATGTCGATCTCGCCAGGTGCCGTTTATTACCCTCTTTTACGAAAACCGCGAGCATTCCTCAGCTCAAAATGCTTTGCGAGGATACGTTAGAGCTTCTTCAGAGCACCGCAACCCTCGAGGTGGAGATCCCGATTGGGTGGTATTTGGCAAAGGCGATGCTGTCCAAGCGTCTGACCGACGCGCGGGTGCTGTATTTTATCTGCTGTCAATCCCTGGTAAGGTTCCTCGACGCCGCCATTTCCAAAGTTCTTCAAAATTTTAACGATCCCACCGCATCCTCCGGTTTTTTGAGCCTCGCTCAGCTTTTCGAGGAAAGAAAAGGCACGACCTGCGCGATGTGTTTTGTGCTCAACCGCAGCACCGGTACCACACCAGGGGTTCTGTCGCCCCAACTCGCGCCCCCCTCCAAAGAATTTGTGGGTTCGAACGACTATGGATTTCAGGGTTTTTTGAAAGATTGGTATAATATCCTCCACCAGTTCGATCGTACCGTCCGGATGCTGCGAAATCTTTGCGAGACTGTCAAAGGCGACGAGGTTGAGACCCTCGCGCTCGCGAACTACACCGTCCGTATTCCCAAAGAAGTGTTGGACCGAATGAATGTTTTATCCCGCGTAATGAAGGCGAAATTGCGGGGAACTTCTGAGGAGGACGACGACGACAACGAAAGAGCGTTTTCCTCCCAGACCGAGACGTCCGATCGGGTTGGTTTTATTCCTTCCGCAGGGGTAGATTTGCGGGTGTGGAAGGATCGTCTTTTCTACGCGCGGATCACCTGGGATAGACAGCTTGACGCCCTCCGCGGGCTTTTTAAAGAAAACCGCGGGGTTGGGCCGCTGTTGGATGGGGTGGAGGAGAAGTTTCGGCATTATTTTAATGCGCTGGAGGGGCTGTCGGATGGGGGAGGCTACAAGGGTGCGGACTCACCCGGCGCCCTCTCCACCCTTTGCGAGACATCCTGCGAGTCCAAAGGGGGAAATGAGGCTTCGTTAATAAATACCCTCATCGCGTGTACGGTCTCGCCGGAAGAATCCTCAGGCGGCGGAGCAGGAGGAGGAGGGACCTTTCCTGAGCGCGAGACGGTGAATCTTCAGCTTTCCCGCGCCTATCACCTTCACAGCCGGGTTTCGGAGCCCACGCTTTCGTCGTCCTCCCTTCCGACGGAAAATAAAGAAGGGGGCAATGACGAAGTCGTCCGCGAGGGAGGGATGCCCTTGACGGAGGAATTAATCCACACCAACGCGTCGATCCAAAGCCTGCTCGAGAAGGATGACGTCGTGGTGGTGTGTAATGAGCCGGTCTCGACAGACGATCAGGGGAGCCTGGCGGCGCGCTTTCAAATCATCCGAGGCCATCCCTCTATCGGGGAAGGGAGTTTTAGCTGCGTTTATCGAGCCTGGGATGCTTTCATCGGCCGCTATCTCGCGGCGAAGGAGATCACGTTGGAGGCCAAACGCCTCCCCGGGGTGGTGCGGGGGGTTTTGAAAGAGTACATGGTGCTCACGAGCCTCCGCCACCCCAACATTGTCCAGGTCGTCGCCTTGATGATTGACGGGAATTCGTGCAAGATTTTTATGGAATGGATGCCATCAGGGTCTTTGCGGGAGGTTTTGCGGGAGAACCGCTCGGGGGTTCTTCGCGAAGGGGTGGTGAGTCGATATATTCGCGATACGCTGCTGGGGCTGGATTTTTTGCACAGCCGCGGGGTCCTCCATCGGGATATCAAGCCGGCGAATATGTTGTTGGGGACCGAAGGGGCTGTCAAGCTCACGGACTTCGGGACGAGTGTGCTGCTGTCGGAGAACGAGCAGACGCTTGAGTCCGGGGTGATTATGGGGACGGCCCCGTATATGGCGCCCGAAGCCGTCCGCGGGATTTATTCTGCCGCGAGCGATGTGTGGTCGTTGGGGTGTACCGCCCTGGAGCTCGCCACTGGGCATGTCCCGTGGGAGGATCCGGATACCGGCACGCGATTGAACCCGGTTCAGCTAATTTACAAAATCGGCAAACTCCACGACGACGACAACGCGTATGGGATGCCGCATTCCTACCTCCGCGCGAGATCCCCCTCGAGTGAGAACGGTGCTGCGGGGATTCCCCAACCGGCGGTGTCGGTATCTGAGGATTTTCTTGGTTTTTTGGATTCCATCTTCGTCCTCGATCGACACGCGCGCGCGACGACCGCGGAGCTGCTTGCGCATCCTTTTATTACCAAACATCACGAAGCCTGGAAGCTTCGGCAAAGCGAATTGGAGGCGGAGGTGAATCATCTCAGCACTGATTTTCAAGCTAAACGCGAGGAAGGAGCGCTGTGAGGGTGCCTATCGATTGAAGGTTTGGTGTAGGTGCCCGATCAGATGGGTATACCAGCGGCGCATGGTCTGAATGCTGTATACGTCTTTTGATCACTCTTTTGGTCCTACTATATGTGTCTGCGAGTTCGAAGAAGAGGAGCTTATCGTTTCTCTTGCTGTGCTTTTAAAACACAAAACGGGTGATAGAAAGGGAAAAATACGCGTTTTTATTTGAGTGTTAAGCTGAGTTTGAAAATAGATATCTAACTATATTCGATATTTATCGTTTCATGGGTTGAGGCTTCCTCTAGTTTTTTTTCTTCTGTGTCTGTGTGTATAGCTGAAGAGCTATAGTGAGTTGCATACAAAGAAATTTTTTTTATTCGCATATCTATATCTATGCGTTGAATGTACATCTATATATATATATACATATATATGATGATTTGATAATCTGCAAACACTATCCATAACTAGCAGTCATCAGCACATTGGGTCACTAACGATGACCTCCAATAAATAACTTAATTAAATCATTTAATAACAATGATGGTGATTAATATTATAATGAACGCGCTATGCTCTTGTGAATCACATTGTCGCGAAGAAGATTAAAGCGATACACCTTAGGTCTCAGAAAAAAGATATAGGGTAGAGTTTAACAACACAAACTTAAAGCATAAATTTCTGAGCTTTTCTACTATTATCAGTTGAAACTTTATTTGCTTACCTTTGCCATACATATCTGGATTTACTATTGCTACTTTCTATTGAATTTTCTAGGTATTTTTTTTCGCTTTTTTGGCATAGTTGTTTTGACAGCAGTTATTTTTATCTATTTGTGTATTAACTAGAGAGAAACACCCTATGATTCATTCAATATTTTTATTAATTTACATATATATATACATATATATATATATGTATATGTGCAAGTTTACAACTTGTTTTCCATGTTCTGTTCTGTTCAACGCATATCGTTGCAGTACATGTGCTCCTTTACACGTAAAAAAATATATCTAATCCTACTTTCAGAAAAGAGTGTTACTGAGAACCCTTTAAAAATACCCTTGCCTAGTGTAATTCTTGTGTAATGTTGTATTTATTTGCATTTCAAATAGTTTTTTTTTTAACCTATGTGTAGTATTTTGTGTGTTTATGTTGTCACTTTGTAGCCTTTTTTCATTTCTTGATGGGTTAATTCCAAAGGAAGATGCCTTGTCTGGGGGGGAAATTGTGCTTTTATACGTTTTACGTATTTTTTAAAAATAATCGTTCTTCGTATCTAACTTTCTAGAATCCTACAGGCCGAATCAGCTATGTGTTTGGTGTTTCATGTTTGTTATACTGTAAATTTCCCCAATACTCATCAATCAATCAATCAGCACGCACTTTATAATTTTTGTTTCTTGTCAATCAACTTCTTCTTTGTAGATCTTAGGAAGGATCCAAATACCCTGCATCCTACGCGTTATTCCACACACGACCGAGGGGGTTTATTTCATTGTTTGCCGTGTTGCCCCCCGTTGGGGACTGTCGCCATCGCCCGAGGCTGTTGCGGGGGAGCGAAGTCACAGCCGCTGAAGAGGGGGAGGGGGCACCATCGCGTTAATTCCATTATTCCCTGCCATGTCCTCCGCGGCGTCGGTTTACCACGAAGAGCTGCTCCATCTTGAGGGCGACCTCACCCATCAACTCCACGGGCTGGGCCGCGCACCGGCCGCGGATTTCCCTTCCCCCCCTCTCCTCGAGTCACGTCTCACTGTGCGGGATGGCCTCGCGCGGCTAGGGATGCTTGGCCAGGCGCTGCGCCTGGAGATGGGGCAGCTGGGAGCGTCGGAGATGTCGCGCTACGCTACACTCGCCGCCTCGCACGACCGCGCGCGAGCGGTCCTGCAGGCTCAGTGGCATGCCATGACGTCACGGGGCAACCCGGACGGGGGTTCGAATCCCACCTGTGACACTTTTCCTCCCATTCTGGACAGCGAGCCCGTGGGGTGGCTGCAGCGGGTTGGGGCCCTGCAGCACGGCGCGCTTGCGTCCTTGCAGGAGACGGAGCGGAAGCTGCACCAGACGGAGGGGGTCGCCGCGGAGGCCTCGACGCTGCTGGGCGGGCAGACGGCGCAGATCCGGCACGCCCACGAGGGCCTGCATGACGCGGGGACGACCCTCCGCCAGGCCAGTCGGGAATTGCGGGCGTTTATGCGGCGAACGGCGCGCGATCGCGTTGTGGTGTCGCTGGCGGTTCTGGTCTTGTTGGGTCTCATGGCATTGGTAGCGGTGTCGATTGCCAAGAACACGGGGTACTTCTAAAGAGGGGGTTAGGAAAGAGAGAGTAGTAAAATCAGGGCATATCGACATCCTTCTCCCCCCTATTTTTATTTCCTGCTTTATTTAGTTGGAAAACAAACACAAGGAGAAAGTTTATTACTTTATTGTTTTTTTTTTTGATGCTGCTTTTCCTTCACTTATGAGTATTCGAAGCACGTCTTTTAGGGGGGGAGGGGGGGGAGAGAAAGAGAGAGAGAGAGAGAGAGAGAGAGG